GTCCTCCACTGTACCCTTGGCCGGTTCGGCCATAAAGCATGGGATTTCGTCGTCGATTTCGTCGACGGTTTCTCCTGCGGTCCGTAATCTTGACAGGGCATCAGCTTGGCTGTTCGCCTTGCCCTTCTTGTACTTGATTTCGAAATCAAATTCCCAGAGGCGGAGCCTCCATCGGATTAATCGCCCGCTGGGGTCAGTTTCGTTCATCAACCACCTCAATGAGGCATGGTCGGTATGCACAATGAAGTGCTCGCCATATAGATATGGTCTTAAAGTCTGTACGGCCCAAATTACCGCTAGACGTTCTTTTTCTGATACATAATAGTTTCTCTCGGCTGGGGCTAACGTTCTTGAAAAGAACCCGATGGGTTTACGTTGCGCATCCGGATGCGTTTGAAATAATGCAGCGCCGATTTGATAGTCGCTTGCATCGGTATCTACCGAGTAGGGTAGGTCCTTCTTCGGCAGCACCAACACCGGCGGTGCCAAGATGGCGTCTTTGAGCTTATGAAAAGCTTTTTCGCACGGTTCGTCGAATCCTTTCAACTGGACCGGTTGTCCCTTCTTCAATAGTTCATTGAGCGGATGCGCGATTTTCACGTAATGTGGGACAAACCGACGGTACACATTACAAAGTCCCAAGAAGCTTCTGAGCTGGGTCTGCGTTTGAGGGTACCTCACTTGTTCCAACGCCGCGATGCGAACGGCATCAACCTCCAATGTACCTGGCCGAACGACATGGCCCAGGTACTTGATCTTTTCGACGAAAAATTCGCACTTGCGAATCTTGAGCTTCACACCTGCCTTCTCCAATACAGACAGTATTTCATCAACATGAACAATGTGTTCTTCCCAAGACTTGCTGAAGATGATGATATCATCCAAATACACCAGACACGACTTCCATCGGAACGGAGAGAGCAGTATATCCATGGCTCTCTGAAACGTCGCCGGCGCGTTGGTAAGCCCGAAGGGCATTCTTGAAGAACGATACAGACCTGAGTGACACGAAAATGCGGTCTTGTCGCGGTCGCCCTCAGGGATAGGCATCTGCCAATATCCCGAGATCGCGTCCAACGCGGAGAAAACCTTGGTGTCACCAAGCGAGTCCAGACATTCGTCCATGCGCGGTAAAAGGTACGTGTCCTTCACCGTTACCGCGTTTAACCTGCGGTAGTCTACGCAAAAACGCATTGACTTGTCCGGCTTGGGCACCAGCAACACGGGCGACGCCCATTCTGACTGCGCTGGTTCTATCACTCCTGCCTCTAACATCTTCTGTACTTCTGCATCTTCAATCTCGCGGGCTTTAGATCCTGCCCGGTACGGAGCTTGTGCGATGGGGCGAGTCTCGGGGATCCACTCGATCCGATGGACTGTGGTATTAATTTCACCAAGCGTCCCATCTCACATCCTTGAATACTTCTTCAACATCCGACGGAATTCTTCGCCCAGCCGGTCCAGCACGTGGCTCAGGTCGAGTTCCTCCACGTCCGGCGGTGGCGGCTCCATCCTGCGTTGCGGCTTCGTAGATGCCGACGGGGAGAGCCCTGCCGACCGTTCTTCTGGCTGGTCCTCGCGGCCTTGATCCGACGGTTCGCATCTTGTCTCGCCCGTAGGCGTCTTGGTAGAATTAGGAAAATTTTCCCTCTGCCTTTCCTGAATTCCGAGAACTTCACCAATGGTGGTTTTGCTCTCAAGCACGGCCCTTGGGTGCGGTAATAATTCGGCCACCACTTGGCCTTTTTGCACCCTGACAGGGTACGTCCTAAAATTCGCAACGAGTGAACGAAATGGCCTGTCAGGCTCAACCTGTACAACCCCATTCGTACACGTCAACCCGTGCCTTTCGTACAACGACGAGTACGGCTGAACCACAACCAAGCCCGCCCTCTTCGAGGTGCAATCCACGACGAGTTGCGTCCCTGGCTCGATAGTCGTGGCTCTTGTCACTTTTACCTTAGGGGGAGTTCGCTCCCCCTTTCCATCATTCTTGTCCTCTCCCGGGACGAGATTCTTCTTCCCTTTTCTCGTCGAGAACCGCCTAACTATCGGAACCTCCGAGAAATCCGCCAACTCAACCGTTTTCTTCCTTGGATAAATTGCTTCCACAAACCGGTCACAGTAGTCCGCGCCTAGAATTAGCGGGACTGCTAGTTTTTCGCATACAATAAACTCGGCTGCGGCCACGAATTTTCCAAGCCTCACAGGCATTCTAATTGTGCCGAGAGTCCGGAGTGGCCTATTGTTCGCGTCGCCAATGTCTTGGGTCGGTCCGTAGGACACCAACATTTACATTCCTGCCGGAAGTTCCGACCTTCGAACCAAATTCGGTCCGGCACCTGTGTCCAACACACACAACACTCGACTCATCAATCCGACCGTTGGTCCAATATCCGCGTAAACTCTGTAGTTTTTTCGCGCGAGGACCAAGATCTTTTCAGAACATTTTTGTTGCTTAACCCTGTACCAGGGCCTACGAATTTGATCCATCGGACGATCCTTGTCTCGACTTAGAATTTTCTTGACAGCAGTCGGCTCCTTCGGCTTACCCCTTATTTCAACTACCTCGTCGTCGAGGCCTTTCCTTCTTGCTAGAGACGGGGAACGGGACTGAGTCACGGACGCCGTACGTTGAAACTGCGCCTCTCGTGACTCCCTCGAGATTCCTCTCTCTACTTTCCCTGCGGCGGAGGGTTCCCTTTTCACGTCCGACGACGCGGGCCCCGCGGCGGGCTTTCTGAAGTGTTGGTTCGACCTCGGCATTGAAGCACTCGGCGTGCTCGCCGTCTGCGAATCGAACCAATTCTTGACCTTCAGATAACTCGTCGATGGTATCCCTAATCTCTCCATCGGAGACAACGCCTCATAATTTCCCAAAACTCGGTGCATTTCCCGGAGGGAAAGAATGCACGTTGGCGGGGCGTGCCCCTTTTCGTAACAGTGATAGCACACCAGTCCGTGCTTCTTGACGGGATATTGTGGTCTAGGTCCTCCACAGGCCGGCGGCCTTCCTTGATATTGCGGCCTTCCCATCCATCCTGGCCTTCAAATCGTTGTACCCTTGTCTTCCATCGGAATGCGCGACGCCGGCGTGTGGCCGCGCCCCCGGAACATCATCACGGGATCCGTGGGCTCTGAAAACGACTCCGTCGTGTATGTGGGCGTCGGTAAAGTTGACGACCCGCTTGCCTCGTAGTCCTCGTGTCCGTAGCCCTCCAATGGCTCAATAAAATTGCCTTCGGCTACCAATGCTCCTTCATAATGATTTTCGCTGCTTCCGTGCTCACCGCGTTCATCTGACGCGGGGATTGACTCTACTAAGTGGACGGCGGCGTGACCTTTACGACCGGGAGAAGAAGCCCTCGGCTTCTTCCCCGCCCTGAACGTCGACGGCGTCTGAATCGTGACCTTCTTGGTGTTCTTGTCCTTGGCGCGGCCCGCCGAGCCATGCGCCTTTGCGTATTTTACCAATCTCAAAAATGAGACATCTCGGTTATCTTGTCGATACTGCGAGACCATGGGCTTAATACTGGCATCTAGCCCCTCGATGAACATGGTCATCTGCTCCTCCATGAAATAAACATTCCCACAGCGATTACTCACGTCTGTTAGGCGAATGTAAAATTCCATCTCATCTTCAGACGGTTTTTGCTGAACTTCTCACAATGCGAGCACGGCTTGACGGATCGACTCGTCCGTTGCGAAACTCCTCAACAACCACTGTACGGCCTCTGGCCAAACGAACACCTTTCCGTGATGGGACCCGGCCGTCTGAGACACCGAGGTGTACTGTCTCAAGGCGACGCCGCTTAGAAATTCGGGCAACAAGCGGATCGCTTGCCCCTCGTTCATATCTTGAGTATCAAACTCTTGAACTAACTTTGCCAAAAAATCCAACACAAGGACCCCGTCCTCTCCTGTGAACGTGTTGTCCTTCTTCACCTTAGGCGGTATATCTCTCCTGATTTTTCGCACGGCGGTCCGCCGGGAACTTGACAAAAATGTCTGCGGGTTCCTCAAGCGGTACGTTCGGTACGAAAGTAATTTCTTGAGCAGGTAGTTGGTCGGATTCAGCTTCTCCAACTCCTCCCATCGCGGCCCGCGTCGCGTTGCGACGTCCTCTGGCTCCGCGTCCTTGTCTCTCCGCGAGGCGGACGAAGTGATCCCGCCCCGTCTGGAGGTAATTTTCTTGCCCTGCGAAATTCCTTTTCCTTCCTCTGAACGATGTTCGGAATTGCTGGCGTGGTTCGACGAACCGTCGTCACCATCTTCGGAAAGGTCATTCGACTAGGTCATTGAGTCTTGGTCCTCCGGCTCGTCACTACAGTGACTCTTGCTCCGGCGTCGCAGATTCTTCTTCGAAGTCTTCGACTTGGAACTCCGCTGCCCTAGCAGATCTGGTGGTCCAGTAATGGTTGGTGCTGGTCATTTATTGGCGGATGATTGGTTGATGTAAAAGCGATTGGTTGGCTAATGGTTCAGGATATTTTACACGATTAATTTGTATCTATCTGCATGGAATAACATCTGGTCGATTGCGAACTGGTTCACCGACCAATTGCCTATTGCCGATCGTTTTCTTAAAATGGCTGATATGCTATTTGGTTGGTCGACTAGTTGCAAAGGATAGTAACTGACCAATCACGGCTGTCATCGACCATACAGAAACACAGCAGTATGCTGCACAAGTAACTTTACAGTACTTCGAAGATTTGCAGCAGACGTCAACCCCCTACATCCCCTAATCCCCAACATGCATCCCACCATCCCACCATCCCTGATCCTTGGTCCTCACATTACCTCCCACCATCCATCCCCCGCCCCCCTTAGACCCCCCCTCTCCCACCCCGACCGCACTCCACCTCCCCTTGTTCGCTGTGCCCCATCCAAACCGCCCCCGACGATGTCCGCCTTCATCCCCCCTCCCCTCCCCGCTCTCCCACCTCCGGTCCCCCCGAACCCACCCTCGCCGTTCCCCCTCCCGCCCTCCCCTCCGCATGACCGCCACCGACCCGCGCCTGCTCCCCTTCTCCGCGGTCCTCTCCTCCCTGGAGAACGAGGGCGCGTACGCCGTCATGGCGGCGGCGGCGGCCGTCGAGTCCGCCACGGGCAAGCCCGTCATCCACCTGGAGATCGGCCAGCCGGCCTTCCCGACCCCGGCCCCGGTCGCGGACGCCGCCATCGCCGCCATCGCCGCCGGCAAGACCAAGTACTCGTCGCCGCGCGGCGTCGCCCCCCTGCGCGCCGCCATCGCCTCCTTGGCCAACCGCCACCGCGGCCTCGCCGTCACCCCGCAGCACGTCGTCGTGGGCTCCGGCGCCAAGCCGGGCCTGTTCCTCGCCACGCTCGCCCTCGTCCGCGGCCCGCACGACCACCTCCTCATCCCGGACCCGGGCTTCCCGACCTACCGCGCCATGGTCGCCGTCGCAAACGGCACCGCCGTCCCCGTCCCGCTCCGCCCGGACATGCGCAGCTTCGACATGCCCGCGCTCGAGGCCGCCGTCACCCACCGCACGCGCCTCGTCGTGCTCAACTCCCCGGGCAACCCCACCGGCGGCGTCGTCCCGCTGGAACACCTGCGCCGCATCGCCCAGCTCGCCGTCGAGCACGACTTCTGGGTCGTGTCGGACGAGATCTACAGCCAGCTGTGCTACGAAGACACGTACACGTCCATCGCCAGCCCGCCCGGCATGGCGGTCCGCACGGTCGTCGTGGACGGCTTTTCGAAGAGCTACTGCATGACCGGGTGGCGCCTGGGCTGGGCCATCATGCCGCCGCCATTGGCGGAGCGCGTCGAGCTGCTGCTCGTGCATTCCGTCGGGTGCACGGCGACGTTTACCCAGGAGGCCGGCATTGCCGCGCTGGCCGGCGGCGGAGAGGTAGAGATGCTGCGGCGCGAGTATAGGAAGAGGAGGGACATCGTGGTGAAGGGGCTGAATGCGATTCCCGGTGTGCGGTGCGACAGGCCGCAGGGCGCGTTTTGCGCGTTTGCGGACGTGCGCAGCTTTGGCAGGAGCAGCAAGGAGATTGCGGACGTGCTGCTGCAGGACGGGTTGGTGGCCGTGTTGCCCGGGACGGACTTCGGGGAGCAGGGGGAAGGGTTCATCCGGCTAAGCTATGTGAGCGAGGAGGAGGAGCAGAGAGAAGGGTTGCGCCGCATCGCCGCCACGCTCGGCAGGCTGCGCCCGGTGAAGGCGGTGGCGTAGATGTAAGGAGGAGGAGGAGGGATCAAGGGCGGGAAAATATTGGCCACTTTTCGGCGAAACTTCCGCTCGCTGCCCCTATTTTTGGGTCGTCTTCGCGTCCCCCAGAAAACATTTCGGCGCCCCGAAAAAAAGTACGAAAACTTTCCCAAATCAATAACTGATCCATCGTGCCGGCGACCGTGCGGTGGCGGTGGCGTAATCATCTCCTTCACCATCCCCCCCCCGCCCGCTGTCCCTTTTCATTTCCACGCCGCTCCCTCCCACCCCTCGCCGTCCCTCCCCTCCCCCCATGGCAATGGCCACCAACCTCGGCCCCACCGCCATCTCCCACACGGCCACGCACTTCGCCGTCGCCCGCCCCGACTCGGCCTTGGACCTCTTCACGCTGCCCGCCTTCACGCGCAGCAGCCACCCGCCGCCGGCAACACTCACCCCGACCGCCCTCGCCCTCACCTCACGCACGGCGCGCCTCGGTCCTCGCACGAGCGCAGCACTCGCGCGCGAAGCAAAAAAGAAAAGAAAAAGGAATAAGATGTAGTAGATGTTGGACATTCTTTTACTTTTTCGGGGAAGGCGACGACAGGAAAAGAGGAGTGTGGAAAGGAAGAAGAAAAGGAACACAGGCTCTCTTCGAGAATCACGCGTGCAGGCAAGACGCCCGGGATGAGACTTTTAGCACCCAAAATGCCAGCAAAACGACAAAGAAAAAACCAAAGAGCCTGCAAAGGGAAAAAGGGAAAAAAGTGGCGGCAAGCCTCTAAAACTTGAGTGTCTTGGGCTTCTCCCAGGTCAAGTCGGGGTCATCGCGTCCAAAGTGTCCGTAGGCGGCGGTCTTCGAGTAGATGGGGCGGAGCAGGTTGAGCTCGCGGATGATGTGCCCCGGGCGGAGATCAAAGTTGGCCTTGACGATGTCGGTGATCTCGGCGTCGGACTTGGAGCCCGTGCCGTAGGTATCAATAAACAGGGAGAACGGCTCGGCGATACCGATGCCGTACGAGACTTGGACAAGGCAGCGGTCGGCGAGGCCTGCGGCAACGACCGACTTGGCGATCCAGCGGCCTGCGTAGGCGGCGGAGCGGTCGACCTTGGTGGGGTGCTTTCCGAAGAAGGCGCCGCCGCCGTGGGCGCCCCAGCCGCCGTACGTTTCGATGCTGATCTTGCTTCCGGTGAGGCCGGCATCGCCATCCGAGCCGCCGATGACGAAGCGGCCCGACGGGTTGAGGTGGTCACCATCTACCAAGATGGTGCGGTCGTCCAGATACTTGTCCGGGATGACCTTCTTGATGACCTTCCCCATGAGGTCTGTGGCGATCCATTGGCCTACAAGTGGGAAGGTTCGGAACTCTGTGCAGGACTACACCGTTTAGTCCCAGTATTCCAGACAACAACAAGCAAGTGCGAGGTCAAGGGTGGTGATTCTGGAGTCGGAATACTTGTCCTCCAGCTGTTGACAGACAAAAATTCAAAGTCATTCCCTCACATCAGGA